ATAGCCCCCAATAAAAAAACACTCACTATAGACAATGCTTGAGATAATGAACATTGAGAAATTGCTACACATTATTGACTGTAAACTCATAACTGTTTGTTATAGACATCTTTAATTTTGCATGGAAACACAACTAACAATAAATAAACACTCGTATAAGTAGGCCATTTGCGGTACAGAATGCAAAAAAATCCTGCACGGCATCGTCAGACAAAATTATGGTCCCCCCAAACTCAGTTTATATCGTTTTCTCTTAATACACACATAATAGAAAATGGTTTATTGAAAACGAGCGACCAATATGAACCTCTATACTGTACTGTACTCGGCAAGCCCTTCTCAGTGGTAGAGCGTAACTAAAGTGAGGTTTTACCTAACTTAAAGGTCCTAAAAAATATTAAAAAGAGAAGAAAAGAGAATGGAGGTAGGATGTTAATAGAAAGCAAAAAGAGATACGGAAAGATAATAAGAGAGAAGCCGGGAAAAAATAAAATCAGTGCAAGAAAAAAAAACAAGGAAAATTGAAAGAGAGCTCTAAAGGAAGAAAATATTAAGTATCTGTTGTCCTCAATTTGATATCTGTATAATTACTTGACCAAATGACATAAAATTTCTAATTACTTTTCTAACGTTAATTACACGCCGCCTATGGATTTTTTTTTGTTTAAGCCATTGGTTTAAACCGGCCAACCCTGCATAAAACACATACAAAACACATGTTTGAAGACGTTGCTATCTAATTATTATAAGGGGTTTGTCACCAGACCTCATGCAGCACCCCCAAACACATTCAATTTGTGACGCCTTTTACCTTGTAGACATCAACGATCGACCAGTAAGATATATTTGTATTAATTTGCTATTAATTGTTGTACTACTACTAATAATAATAGATATTATTATTATTATTATTATTATTATTATATTTTCGCCCCCCAGGCCCTGATGTGGGTCAGTGACCTGTGCCCGGGTGGGCTAATCCCCGTAAAAAAAAGTACAAGCTGTAAACAAGTTATGTACAAAGTGAGGGAGGATGTGCAAAAACTGGCCGTTGTCGTATTTGTGGACAATATTATTATCGTCTATACACTGTATATGACAACAGGGGACCAGTTTAGGCGGTACAAGGACATCAGCCACCAGAACAATACTTGAAAACTTGTTTTTTTTCAAGGCGACATCGTTTAATAATAATAGTCCTGGTTATATGACTGAAAAAAACAAAGAATGTCTACTTCAAATGACATATATCAGAGAGATTTAAGACGACGCATCTGGCTAATATTTAAGAGGGAATAAAATAGATGGCAGGCGACTAAGTGTCATTTAAACGAAATCGATAAATGTGTTACTCTCGCCCATTAAAGTGTCAGATCTCGCGGCTGACACAGATAACGAAGGAACGCCGGAGAAAATATTGACATAAAAACACTGGACCATGGATTCTTTAAGGTTCTACCGATCAACACTCCCGTACGTGAGGGTGTGCAAGAATACTGTACATCAAACCTATAACCTAACTTAACTGGTTGACTTAAGTTATTATATAAGTATAACATACAAAACAACATCAATTTTAAAGAGAATTCATTCGCCCTAACTTGGAGTACTGCTCTTCTGTCCAACTGTTAGTGAGGGTGGAATCAAAGGCATTTCGTCTTATTAACTCTCCTTCTTTAGTTGATAATCTTTCTTCTCTTTCTCTTCGCCGTAATGTTGCTTCACTCTCTCTTTTAGAGGTACTTTAACGGGCAATGTTCGGTGGATTTGGCATCCTGTGTACCGCCGGCAAAGCCGTACGCTCGTAACACTCGTCTTGCTCGCGGTGCCCACTGTCACACTAGGTGACTAGAATAACCTTTCCTCACACAGTCAAACTGTGGAATGCTCTGCCTTCATCTGTGTTTCCATACTCATAAAATCTGTCTCACTTCAAGAAGCTGGTTTCTGGCTTCTTCGTGGTGTAGATAAATATAATCTTTTTCATTTCTATTTTTAATATATTTTTCCCCTTTTCCCCTTATTTTTTGCCCCCCCCCTCCGGCCCCATTGTGGGTCGATGACATGTGCCTGGGTGGGCTGTTCCCCATAAAAAAATCATAACAAAACATATCCCACATCGGTTTCAACGAGGAGTTGGGGGGGGGGGGAGGCATAGGGAACTCTTACACGATAAATTGCAGAGTATTGGTATGTTCTCTAACTAAACCTTAACACAGGTGAAATAAGGTGGGATCCCTGCATATATTTACATTCAGACAATCTGGGAAACCCCCCATTCCAGAATCCTAGGTACGCCCCTGTTTATAGTCATTATTTTGGAGGTAATGTCGAAAGTTGAATTATTTACCGTAAATACTCCTCCGAAAAACCTGCCAAGTCTCACTAAAACGTAAAATTACACCATGACGCTTCAACAAAGTCGCTTTTATTATTACCAGATATCAAAATATGGACTTTCTGTTTAATATGGCGGGGGGGGGGGTCCGAGGGGAGGAGCCCCCGACTAGGAAGTTAGGTAAGGTTAGATAAGTTTCTTTGGTTAGTTAGTTCTACCGTCTGGAGTACTCTGGTCCCCAAGATATGCTAGGGACTGTCACTTGATTGAAAATGTCCAAAGGAGGGCCACCAGGCTGGTGCCAGCACTTCGGCACCTCAGCTACCCTGAGAGATCAGAGCACCCTGCAATTGCCTAACTTATACTACAGACGGGCAAGGGGGGACCTAATTGAGGTGTATAAACATCTCAAAGGGCACTACTCAGTCGAATGTCCTTGCCCGGAGCTGGCGGACGCTCACCCCACAAGGGGTCACAGCTCAAGGTTGAAGAAGCCGCAAGTCCAGAAAACTGTGAGGGGTAATTTTTTCGGAGTGAGAGTTGTGAACTCTTGGAACAATCTGCCAGAGAGTGTTGTGACGGCACCGAGCGTGAGCTCTTTCAAGACCAGACTTGACAAGCATTGGAGCAGGTTTAGATACATTCAGGAGCCATAATTGGGAATTTTGTAAAAGAATTGAAGGTCAGATTTAAGCAAAGCACACCAAAATACGCCAGAAAAACACATTTCCCTGTAAAAAACGAAGGTGACGTTAAAACAAATCTTTACCTAATCTTACCTTAATTAACAGATGCTGGAGGATAAAGTGATGCTACTTGTTGAAAGAAGTGGCGAAGTATAGTTCTGTGATCGTTGTATTTGGTCTAGAACATGTACAGAGCGAAATATTGTCGGTGATGTTGTAGTGGATTTCTCCCCTGCAAACGCTGTTTGTCGCTGAGTAGCCGACCCCGCGAATTCCACAGTGTTTGCCTCGTGGTCTAGGTCAACCAGCGCCGCCCACGGAGCGGGGGTCAACTATCTACCCACGTCTACCTCCGCTATAAAAGACCTGACCTCGTGGTGACCTGTCTCTTTCTACCTACACCAACCAACACCTCCTCCTCCGCCTGCCTGTCGGTCCTCTCTCCCGCCGGCGAGCATGGCGACCCACAAGCTGTCCTCCTCTGAGCACCCTCACCAACCAGCTCTCTCTACATCACGCTTGTAACCATGCTGCCTTCCCAGCACCAAGCTGCATTGTACATCCAATACAACATGTATATAGAGAGCACATTGTGAGTTTCCTTTCTCCATCCCATCCTGAGTGAGAACCCCAAACAACCAGTGGCGGCTCGTGAAAAATAAAATGGAGGGACTGCAAGCCTCACACAACAGTAGGATACACAAATTTGACCTACCTCAGGTATGAGTTGTAGTTGATGTCCACGAATTCCCAGGGCATGGTAGTAGTGTTGGTGGTGATGGACCAGTATTAATTGAAAATATAGTCGGCGTGTCTGCTCTTCGATGTAGCAAAATTGTTTATTACAATTTCATTAAAATCCTTTATTTCTGTTATCATTTTATTTTCAATGGATATCACTGCTAAAGCAGACAGTCTGTCATTCACCATGAATAAAACTGGTGTAGGTCTTCCTCTTGCTTTGATTTCAGTCTTTTCATTTAATGTCAGCTGGGAAAAGTTGATGTTTTGCAAATACTTCACTCGATTTTCCATCGTCAAAGGGTAATTAAAGAAAGCACGATTTAACCACACCGTCCACACGTTGTACGAGACTGAGCTGCTTCAAGTGCGGCGGCGGCGGCGGCGCCAATTAATAACAGACATGAATCGTACAGCATTGACAGCAACTATGAAAGTAACTTAAATTTTGGTCTGATTTTAATGAAAATTCACTTAGCAACGTATTGAAAATAATTAAATAACATAAAATGATATATTTGTTGGTAGTGTATTATTCAGCTGTCTCTCTAAAGGAATCATACGCCTGGCAGTGAGTGTCTGGGGGGGACTGCAGCCCTATGCACGAGCCGCCACTGCAAACAACCCGTACCCCACAATGTTCCTTCTTATTGTCGTTACGAAGCACTCGACTCTTGATATCCTTCCACAATCCTTCTATAATTTACGTATGAACGGCTGTAGCACTTCACAGAGTTTGGTAGAATACCATGAGCCTTAAAAACGACAATGGCAGCGGCTTCGTTTTCAAATACACGATGAATGATTTGCTAAGCACAGAAAGAATACCCGTGCAGAGAACAGCTCAGGAGTATCACGAGGGATGGTCATGAGCAACAGTATCTCCCACCTTGTCCGAGCCTTAACCCCGTCTTTCTTTAGAATTTAAAGTTTTCAAACTTCCCTACTTTGTTTCAAGAGTACTTCGTGTATTCTCACATTTACAGCAGCAAAATGAAGTGTGTTTCCAATACACACTTCTGTTGTTTCTCTACGACAACAGGGGGGGGCGGGCCGCTGGGGGGGTTAACTACCTGTGCATTCGATATAACACGAAAACATATTTAAGTGTGATTACCAGTTATTACTAATTCTTTATACGTTATTTGGATAAAATTAAATAACTGAAGTACCCTTAAATTATTGTCAGTTATTTGAAAATATAAATATTCTCTACCTTGAAGACGTTGTTTACATTCCTATAGTGTCAGGCCATGTTGTCCTCTGCGTCTCGTGATCCACCACCGTCCCTTTTACTGTCTTGTAAGCCTGCTGTGAGCTTCATTCTTGGGGCTATATTACTCTGCTACCTTGTACAGTCACATTACCAGCATGACGTTTGCCTCCATGCTCTAAGAGTGTATAGTTTTGCAGTAATCGGGTTAGAGATTTGCTTCAGGATCCTGGGCGTGTGTGTGTTGACAGGCTCATGGGACAGCTACCTCGGTGGACCGTCTAAAGGAAAGACCAAAAAGTCGTCAAAAGTGAGATTTTCTCGTTTGTTGGAGTAGCACAAGTAATTTTTTATGAAAATAATGTTTTCTTCACCAGTAATGATATTTGGATTGAGTGTATGTATCGGTTACTGTTATGGAATGTTTGGTAAATTTTTACGTTAGGTCATGAGTCCTTAGGGGTTCACCAATATATTTTTCCAGTGTATTTTGGTTTGTTTTAAACGAATCTGACCAATTTGGGTGGAAATTGCTCGTTCCCCCCCCCCCCGACCCCCCCAAAAATGATAAGGAATAGCCTGGGAAATCACGGTTTTGGGGTGGGGGAGAAAACGAGAATCACCTGAAGAATTATCGCCCCAGCTTATTTCACCTAACGATTAAACCACCTTAAAACTATTTTGGGAGGATGAGGTTAGGTTAGGATATGTTAGGTTAGATTTAGGTTAGGATAGAATAGGTTTAGGTTAGGTTAAGTTAGTATTAAGGTAATTAATCTTCAGGTGAAATAAGCTGGGGCGACAATTCTTCAGGTGATCCGAAAACGAGTCATCTAACCTAACTAACCTAACCTAACCCCTAGCCGCCAGTAGGCCGAGCTTAAGCCAACTTAAATGTTTCAGTAGTTAAAAACTTTGGTGTGTGCCATGTCCCAAAGTACAATACCTTAGTTAGAGGTGGAAGGACCAGGGATACGTAAGAATTAGATAGAATGATCGTCTTTCTCGTAAAACTCAGCAATAACCTTAAAATAATCATAGGAGCACAAATGACAACCAACCTCCACCGTGGCCATTGTGAGACTGGTCAATGAAAATTACCCAGGCTGCTTCCTTTGAAAAAATCAAATGTGATTGGTCGAAAAAACTCACGTGATGATATCGATACATCATTGGTCACGACTGGATGGCGTCAGTCAATGTTGTGCATGTGTTATGTGCTGATAACATCTCACGAGACGAAAACTGAAAAACGTAAAATCAATTAAATTCAATTGTGTCACTATTATTTATTTCCGCCATGTTTATATGAGGTTCAACATGCTCAGAATAGCAAGATCTAAATGTTTCAGTAGTTTATAACTTTCAGGCGTGCTATGTCCTAAAGTAAAATAATACCCATGTGGCAGTAGAGTTTGTAGTTCCCTGTATAAGGTCGGATCCAGGGGGGTCCGGACCACCCCTTTTTACCAGAAAATTCATAATACTCTTTCGGTAATATTGTAGTAAACAGTAACCACAGAATTCCAGAAATTCACTACACTCAATCGATAATTTTCTTATATTACACTTCCATCACAAATTGGCTAGGGCCACTGGTGGTATGGGGGCAGAACCCCCGGCTAGGGGATTAGGTAAGGTTTATTTTTTTGGTTGCTGTTATCCACAATTTTACCAGTTTTTCTTTAATGTAGTATTGTACTCAGGCATTTTTGTATAGTAAAAAGTATTTACTATTGACTTCAGAGTATCTCCTAATATCAAGTGTGCCTAACTTCAAAATGGCCTCAAATTGCCCATGATATTGTTAGATTTAAAAAAAAATCTCATGGGGGGAGGGCATACAGCTCCGCACCCCCCCCCCCAAACACCCCCCAGCTGGGTGGGCTCGCCATGTTCCCCCACCCGCAAATTATTGGACCCCTCCTTTTTATATTCCTGGATCTGCCCCTGCAGTACTGTACTATGTTTAGTAGAATTGGGGAATCCTGGAGGAGATGGGTAACACCAGAAGGCATTGTTTAATTTTGTTAATTTTTTCCACAGATGATCATATCATTATACTACTCAGTATTTTGAAAGAGGCAACATTTACTAAAACCTAATAGAACCTGACCTAACCAACCAAAGAAACATACCTGGATTCCCTGACATTTTAAACAGAAAGTACTTATTTTGATATCTGGTACCAATGAAAGCAGCTATGCTGAATCTTCATGGTGTAATTGTACGTTTTTTGTAGAAATGAGAATACTGTACCATACACTCGGACCGAGTTGCTCGGCTGTAAACAAACCGAGCACGTGACAACATGCGCTGATTTGGCAGATTTTTCAGTGGAGTATTTCTGGTAAATAATTAATTTCTTCGCATACAAAGCACATGCGAATATCATTTTAGTGTCATATAATCAGTTTTTCATTGTGTTCTACCTTGCAATTTCCCTTGTCCTTCCTGTCCAGCCCACTACAGATATTTTATGATCATAGGTAGAGAAAAGCTAAAAAAAATACTTATAATCAAAATAAAAAGTTGTCGTCTTTTAAAGTACTTACTATAATGGTATGAACATCTGTGGAAAAAATTTTAAAAATTTAACAACTCCTTTCTGGTTTTACCGTTTTAGCCATCTACATCAGTATTGCGTAGATTTGGTTTTGTTATGTAAATCTGAATCTGGGTTGAAATTGCAGATGAACCATAACATTCTTTAAATGAAACCAGACATTATAAAATTTATCAGTCATAAAATAAACCAGGCAAACTACCTAACCTAACATAAAGTGAAATAATACAATTATCTTCTGTTACTGTATCATAAAAAAAAATGCTGCAGTACAGTACTGTAATACAATACAGTCGACCCTCGTTAAAACGGACTAATAGGGGGGAAGGGTGTCCGTTTTAGCCGATTGTCCGAATTAACCGATTTAGGGGTTAATATTGCATAATACAGCTACGGTATTGCATTATACAGTCATGTGCCGGCTAATGTTCTAGATACGTGCTTGTGTTTATACAACCGCTTTCATCCAGACCCACTAAAGATATAATGTTATGGTAATTATCAGAAACACTTATAGGCATGACTAGTTTTATTACAAAGTGATGAAAAGGATACTGTACAGTGGTAGTCCACAAAACATGTAGCTATGTGTATGTTTATTTGAGTGCCCCGTCATAGGAGTCCGTTTTCTCTCGCTTTAGGACGCCTGAGTCCTCCGTTTTCTCTTAATCTTAGAGTGCAGTGCACCAGAGACTTCGTTATTCCTTAGTAATAACACAGAATTTGAAATTGCAACCCCAATTGCAACTGGGACAATCCCAGAACCAGAAATTTGATACAGACAGTCCCTCGCTTAGTTCAGATTTCGTCCGATTTATTCGAAATCCAGATTAAAGGGGTCCGAATTATCGAGGGTCGACTGTATACTTGAAGAGTGGTCAGGCCTCAACACAAACTTGAGTAAATTTCTCCTCATAGAAAATGAAAACTTTCTTATGCAGAAGGAATGGTTCTTACATAATTTCTTTTAAGATTTTTTTTTACTTTTTCCTTCTTGGGAGGAACTGTCTCTGTTTTCTATTTTTACTTTCTGTGATCAAACATTGGTTCATTTCATAGATTTATGAAATATTACAGATGATGTTTTCTATTTTATTATTGTAAAATACATATTTTTTTATATATATAGATACTGTACAGTGCTGCTAAGTTCTTTACTTTATCTTTAATAAAATGAAGCAACCTATCCTACCAAACCTAAAATACAGTACTACGGATATTTACTACAGGTATTTAATTTTTCTTAAATAAAATGAAATTTCTTTCTGCAAAAGGAGCTAACCCTACAGTCTAAACATGGTACACATTGCAAGGCCATGTTTTTCTGTCTTCCTCCGCTGATTTTGGACGTAAAATGTGATAGGGGCTATTGCACAAAATTCATTCCTCACATTTTTTTTTTTTTTTTTTTGAGGGAAGAAAGCTTTTATCTTATATGGAGAAATGTCCTCAAGTTGCAGGTTCAGAGATATAAACACCATACCAAATTTTATTTTTCAGAGAAATTGTATTCGAGAAAAAATGAATACTACACTGTATTGACGTAGAGAAGTAGCATCAGTAATACTTTATCATTCTTGTGCTCCTAAACTATATAGATGTTTAGAGAATTTAAAACAAAAAACGTTTCTTGCTTAAAAATTTATTCATATCCACTCCCGTAATGACAACCTATATGATTTTATTTTATTTTTTCCCCATGGGGAATCGTACATTGGGTCTAGGTTAACCAGCTACCTAACAAAAATATTCTGTGGAAGAAATCACATTTTTTTTCCTCAAGAATATGCTAAATTGCATGGAGGAATTGCACTTTTCATTTCTTTTTATCATTTTGCAGGAAGTACAGCATTCAATAACTTAAGAGTTTAATATGTAAAATATTACAGGTTGTGGATGTATTTCTGATTGCTGTGTGGAGTGTCCTCAGCATAATCCTTACACACATTGTCACTGTCCTATATGGTGCATATCTGATTGAGTGAGTACAATTTATCTTGTATTTTCTTGCTAGTTCCCACTGCTGGGAAGTTTTATCTGCTGTACAGTATACAGTGGTCCCTCGGTTAACGAGCACAATCCGTTCCAGCAGGTTGTTCGTTAACCGAAACCATTGTTTCAATGGGTTTTTGGGTAATGGGTTCCAGCTCACCGAAAATTGTCTAAATTCAACAAAAAAGGTAGAAAAGTACACTTACTTTGAGGTGTGTATGTAGAAGGCTCCTGGATAATGATGATGATGGGAATTAGAATGGGGGTGGAAGATAAGTCACCCCATGGCGCCATTTCACCCATAAAATTTTAGCTCTCTTGGTGTAATTCAAGATTATTTTCTTTAAATCAACACTGCACTGCATTATATATTGCCAATATGTAAAATGAATTTCAAAATGACCAATAATTTGCTTGCAAACACAGAAAAAGCATTTAGTTGAAGAGAGTCTCAAGCAAGATGTTACCTCCACTGAAAAGACAAAGAGACTGGCGCCTGTTTGGTGTGTTGGCAGGCTGGATGGCGCGTATGAAACTAGTTTCCTTACCTTCAATTATGTTCAATAATTGTTAAAATGACTAAAAAATTTAATATTAAACTTTTAAAATTATTGAATAGTATAAACTTCTTGATATTTACTAAAATAGTAAGGAATTTAAGCCCTAAAACCAATTACTGTATTGGCGGACTAATACTACAGCTGGTGGACCGCCAAATGCAAGCGAAAACATGTTGAGGTCGGCTCGTAAAAAAACTCATTAATCGAGGGATTGCTCGTTAACCAAAGTTAAGAATCTTATGGAAGGTAAATCGTTAACCGAAATCTCGTTAACCGAGGCGCTCGTTAACCGAGGGATCACTGTATCATATGTCCAGAATGGGGTTTGATTCATCATGCCTTACCCTAAAGGCTGCTAGGGACTTGATTTTATGATCTCCAAATCTTCTCCATCACATCCATTGGCCTCAAATAGGGGGAGATTAGATGCAAAGGTTACCCTCTAGGGAGTTCTAGAAGAATTCTTGTCCACCTAGTCAGTATACATCTGTTGCTGGCAATGAACCTCTTCATCAAATTCTAGCACCATTCCCCAGTTGACCACTACACTAACAAGACATCTGCCAGGGAGAAGGATGTAAACAACTGATTCAAATTAGCTGTTGTAAAACATTTTTTCTCTTTTTTTCTGTATATAAGTGCTCCTCTACTTACAAATAAGTTACGTTCCTGGGGCTTGTTCATAAGTCCAACTTTATTCTTGTAGATACTGAACATGTAAGAAACAAAAAAAAACAAAAAAAACAAAGAATTTGATCACAGATGTAAAGTAACAGCCTACACGGTAAGACTAAAGGCTAAATAAGCTCATAACTCCTTGTACTGTACTGTATCTCTTGTCCCAGCTTTCATAAACCATACTATCTACCTTTCTTTTGTATTTAAGAATTGTGGTACTTCAAGCTAAAAGAATGCAACTAAAACCATTATGGAAAAGTTTAGCACAACCACCATATGCATAGACTCTAGCTTCATGGCCTCAAAACTCACCATAGCAACACAGCCCAGCTGGGATGCTCCCTCTGGCGACCCCGAGTAACGGGGCTCCCACACTCCACTCCCTGCTCAGCCTGCTAAATCTCACACAGAGAGATGATTATTCCCTTTTTATTTTTGACCTTATAAAAATTATTTCTGTCCTGTTTTGCACATTTGTATGAAGGATTGTGTTCATGTAACTGAGTGAAATGAATTGAAGAAAGTTCAATACGGGGGATCCCCAGGTTCTGAACGGGTTCCGTTCCTGAGGACGTTCGTAAGTCAGAACACATGCTATATGCATATCGTACTTACAAAACAATGTTTAAAATCCCACTATATCATAGCTTAAGTCCTTATAAACATCTAAAATCACTTAATTTAAGACAAAAGAAGAAATAGAATGACAAAATACATTAAATGAAAGTAAAAAATAAGTCATCAGGTAAATAAAATATATTCAGTAAGTTTTCTAACATTTATAATAACCCAAACCTTAGAGAATCATACCAGCTTAGTTTGTACAATATTTCTTTTTCTGATTTCACTTAAAAAAAAATTTTGCATTGCTGATTTATTTTATTTTATTTTATTTTTTCAGATACGTTGAAGAGACCTTCACCTTCAGTATACTAGTAGCAGCTTTATCCTTCATCAGACCACTTATTGCCCTGGGACCTTCTGCAATTGTCATTATTCTTGAAAGGTGAGAAGTAAAATAAATTGACCTCATTTTTTTATCTGATATAAGGTAAAGTATACAATTAATTTCAATTTATGCTTCCTCATAAGTATGACACACTTAAATTTAAAAACAATACCTGATCCCCCTTTAATCATTAATTTTGTTTTCACCCCCTCTCATTCCCTTCTAGTCCATTTGATTTTCCATTTCTTAAATTTCTTCACTTCCTCTTCAAAATTAAGTCACAACGTACAACTCCCAGGGCAGACCAGTTCTAAAGTCCCATGATAATGCCTATAGCACCATGATACTGTAAACAGAAGTGGGCTCAAGATAGACCCTTGGTGGACCCTTACTTTCACTTAAAATTCCTTACTTTTCTCACCATTTACTTTCATAGTGGTTCTTGGGCCCTCATACAATGCCACGAATATAAAAGTATGTTCATTGGTTCTTACAAAGCCGGCATAAATGAGGGCTGTCTATAATTGTTCTTCATTCAGGCTACCTTGCATCATGGCCAAAAATCTTGCCTGACTAGAAGATGGAACACATTTTTTTGTAGCCCAACTAGATTTTTCAATCAATGTTGGGTTTTAAGAAGATACTAAGTAGGAATTCTTCATTTATACTTATTCAGATTAAACTGGGAGAAAGAATCTGAAGTCCATTGCTTTGCTGTATTACTTGGGGCGTGGTTAGGGGCCATACCCATACCTCTGGACTGGGACACTCCTTGGCAGGTGAGTCTTGTTTATATCCTAAGATCATAAAAATCTTGAATGTTGTGTATTACCGATGTCATGTATCTTTGAAATGTGTACTATGGGGAAAATAATAGATGTAATTCCCCAACATGAATGCTTTGCAAGTAAAATATATACAGTAACTACATGTGTATGAATGTGTACATGATTGTATTGAAATTTAGTGGTTTTCATCATCTTGGCAGCCTTACCTCCAGCTGATGATTTGATTCTTTATCTAATCTTTACTCCTGAATACTTTATGGTTTTAATAGTGCTCTCATTGATGCCATGCTTGCCACACTAAGAGAGCGAGTGATAGTAATGCTGGTTCAAAAGCTAAAAGAAAGTGTTTAAGCTAGCCAAGAAACTAAATGTGTTAAAACGATATGAAAAAGTTGAGAGGTCTGTGGATATTATATGGCGCAAGCAATGAACATATTTTCTGTAGTGGATCCATTAACAGAACGAAGCATTGAAATTACCAGGGATGTGAGAAATGCGTATGACCTCTACATAAATATGTATCATGAGTGGCTGTGAAAGATCCTTTCGACAGCTTTATTATTCAAAGGCCTAAACCATAAAAAATCAGCATCATAAGCAGCTTTTGCAACAACTTCAGGTTCAGTAACAGTTTCAGCAACAGCTATGATATCTTTATGGAAAGCTTCAGCTTCAGTCAGTGTTGAACCTGATGACTTCGTCACTGAGTAAAAACTCGCACAATATTCATTGGCTGTCCTTATGTTTTAGACTTTCCCACCATTTGTGAGTAAAAAATTTTTTTTACATTAATAAGTATAATTTAAAATATATATGAACAGAATTAAGTGTTGCTTTCATATTCTTATGTAGAGAAATGATGATGTTTTCACATGTACGCACTTACATACGATGGCGTTCCCAATCTATTTCATTTTTATTTACCATTAATGGTTAGCTACTGCTATTGTTCCATTTATTAACATTAAAACGTACTTATTCCTTTTTTTTCATTAATTTTACTACAGCTACAACCAGGGTCTTTTTTTCTTCACTTTCTTATGTAGAACCATCGTCATTCGTCACGGGTGTTGTAAACATGAACGAAAACAATGCCATCTCCTCTCCTATTGTGTGTTTTAATATTCTATGTATTATTAATGAATTGCATTGTTCATTTTGCATATATAAACATTAATTCAATCAAATACATATTCATTAGTAAACAATAATGAATATTTTGTACATATTCTTAATAAGATAAATGACGTGGTTTCCTTGAGGGCGCAAGTTAACATTGGCGTTCCACTATCACTCTTTTTTCTTTAACATCAGCAGTTACTTTTACTATACATTAAATAACATTCATTAAAACATACATATTTTTTACATTAATTTTACTACAGCAACAAACAGTTTCAGATATATAACTGACATTATGGGTGTAAACACTGACAACAATGGCATCCCATCTCCTCTTGTGTGATATTATTATTATTGATTTATTTGTATAAGGTGCATTCATGAACATTATTTAAAGAATATAGGTTGCATGTTTCATTAATTGTATTGTTTTTGGGGAAAAAGGGTAAAAAGCCACACAAAAGTTCTGAAAATGTCACACTTGGGAACGGATCTCATTATTATTGCTTTATTTTAATGGTAATTAATGATTCATGATACGATGATTCACCTTACACTGCAATATTGGAAGACACATTACCATTGTCTTATTCGAGGCTTTACTGTACTCTATTAATCAATCTTATTTCATCTGCAGTTTGTGTCTTTATGTTTTGCACACCTTATCATTTTTGTAGATTTTACTTTGTCTTTTTCTCAGTTTTCTTGCTTAATGCCTTCCATGAGGAAGAATGAAACTGTAGTGTACATGAATGTTTTTATTTTTAAAAAAGTGTGAAAGCATTTATTTTTGTGATAAACATTGTTTTTAGAGGAATTTGTACATATTTTTAAGTTTAGTGAACCCAATCCTCTGTTTCCTACTGGAAGTGAACTTCACTTATTCATGGGACTACTGTACTGTATTGTGTAAATTGAAACAATAGTCAATCTTGTTCTCATAATAGTTCATTCACTGAAATCAAATTTATTTGTGTGCTCAGGTAACCCGTACAAGAATGGAAAATGGCTGTAAAACGTTGATGATGATACTGATGACAATTGTAGACACTAAACAACTGTTTGGAGAGAGATGAAAAGTTTTAGGTAGTCATATTGGAAAGTAGTGTAATAGGATGGATTGGTTCAAATAGCATTAGTGGGCATGAATATCAATGTATTTGCAGGTGGTAAAAAGCATGATAAAGGTGTTGATGTTTTTGTAAAGCAGATTTGGGTAGTTGTGTAAAGGGATATTAGGCAGTGTCAGTTATTCAAGTTTAATGCTAAACCTTTTTGCTTCCATACACAGTACTGCTTTGTATGGGATGCATATGTGCAAAAATAATGTTTTCAATATTTTCTTTGAAAAGGTCCAAAACCACCCAGGTATTAATGAAGTCCATTGATGTTTGGGAATCCTGGTTGTATCTGGTTGGAGTTTTGCCATTGCATAATTGTCTACATAATTTTAACTGCCTGTCAAACTGGTAAGGTTAGGCATTTCACTTAGTTAGCACTACAGTTGTAATCATCAGTTTTCAGCTCACACTTTTTCGTTTTTATGTGATGGGTTAGGGGAGGTATATGACAGTGTGCTCCTCAGAGGGCAATGCTGCTAACAAAGATCTACATTCAAGCTTGGCTTACATAACACACCATGGATAAGAAAGATGGACATCTATCCTTCATTTTGTATTGTAAAAAGCGATGGTTACGCACTCTATTTAAAGATAGTATGTTAATGGAGAGTATGAAAGGAAAGGGACTTTCATAGCAGAAAGAAGTTGAATAATGAATAGTTTTGACGAAAGGAAACAGAGTAGGGGTGGCATGATAGGGAATAATTCATTTTACAACAGGGGTTGAAAAGAGATAGGCACAATTGATTGAATTTCTTTGGCACGTTGGCCAAGGAAATAGTTTCTTACACCCAAGTTTGTCTTTTTACTCTCACTAATGTTCTTTACCTCTTCCTCAGGTTTGGCCTTTAACCTGTAGTATTGGGGCAGTGCTTGGAGAACTAGGAGCTTGTATGTACCTGCTGGTCAAACTGTGGAAGGAAGGAGACATAAGCAGGAAGAAGAACAAGGCTACGTAGAAGCCACACCTTACTCACGTCTAACATTTCTTTTTTCTGAAGTTTTCATCTTACTCTAGTTTAATTAACACTTAGGTAGGGTAAAACTAATATAAGATTATTTTAATAAAGTTTGTGTTTGGACTTTTTGAGTCTAGTTATTAGTTATTATTTCATTATTTTTGTAATTGTCATAGTTCTCCAAACTTAACTTCATGAATAGCGTGAGCAAAGAGTGTCAAGAACTTAAGTCCCTCTATGACTCATGCTTCAATCAGTGGTACAGTGAGAAATTCTTAAATGGGCAAACAGATGACACAAGTTGTGAACCCGTATACAAGCAGTACCAGCAGTGTGTGAAAGAAGCTCTAAAGAAACTAAAAATTGAGATTCCTAAAATTGAAGAAACTCCCTCAGGTGACAAACCCAAGGTATAAAGAGTGAGATTGATTATAGAGATACACGTAATGTGTCCATTCTTTACTGGATAGCCAACAAGTCGGTGTGACCAGGTTGAAAATATTCCTCTCAGTGGCAATACATTATATAAAGTGTACACTGAAACTAATAGTACAGTACTGTATTAGTAATATTTTGTAGAATTGGTAGTTTTTCTCAAATGGTCAAAATGTTTAATGCAATCCGCAAGTCTGTGTCACATTATTACCGCCAGTATGAACTGAACACGGCAATTTATATGCTAGAGCCTAAAGAGAAGCTGGCCATGAATTTATTCTTCTTTTCCATATTTGGTCTTATCACTTACTCCTCATATGTGTACTTGCCTCATTACACCTCCACTATGCTGGCATTCTTTGGAATTATTGACCTTGAACATTAGAATTTTATCTGTTAGTTTTAGAATTTATGGATTGAACCATCTTTTTTCTATTGATAATTGATTATAATTAACTTCTCAAATTATGTATACAGTATTGTATATACAGTACAGTATATTGTTTGGATAGAATGTAAAACATTTGTAAGAATTGCCTTAATTTTTTTTATTCGACTCTTTCTGTATATTTACCTATCAGGTGCCATTGAATCAGTATTTCTTATTTTTACATCATGACAACTCAATCTAGCACAGCAAAAACACTGTCTAAAATTCAACAGCAGAAGACAATTAAGGGAGTTCAGAAACCTCGGAAAAATGTTGTGAAAAATACACTGGAAAGCCCATTTGCTCTTGACTGGCCAGTTGTTAGTGCTGAGAATATAGGAGAAATTATCTCTCTCCTGGAAAAGAGTTGCAGTGGACTGAAGAAAGTCACCTGTAAACCACCATGGAAGGAAGTGGCTAAATATAAAGGTGCTGGGAGGAAAGCTTTTCTAGAAAAGTATCGACAGAATTTTCAAGAAAACTTGGATCCTGAGGTTCTTAACCAAAATAGAGAGAGAGAAAAATCAGTGTCTCACTTGATATTTGGTTATAATGCTGTTATGAGAGCTCTAGAAAAAGATAATGTAGTTGGGATTTTGGTGAAAAAGAATGTAGAGCCTTTGTTTTTAGTGAAGACATTCCTCCCCGGTTGTGCCAATAAAAGTATTCCTCTAATTCCATTAGACGACCTTGACAGTATTTTGAAAAATGAAAAAACCTTGGCACTATCACATGCATGTATGGTACTTGGGCTGAAACCTTCTGTCAAGGATAAGAGTAATAGATTTCATTCATTGTTTGCCAAGATGTGTGAAGCTGTTCAGGTAGACACAAAAAATGATTCAGATGAAGATCTTGAAGAAAATATGGACTGCAGCATGAAGGATCCCATTATTGACGATAAAGAGAAGAATAATACCTGCACATCCAGTTGTTACCTAACTCAAGAACAAATCAAGTCTTATCACTTGAAACGAGCTGATAATAGCAAACGAGCATTTGTTCCTGGAGGAAGTCAAGAACAGATCATTGATGCTTTGGGCTTTGGATCAGATTTTATAGAATTCAGATCTACTGATATGGATGTCCCTTTCAACACAAACAAATTACAGCTGTTTGATAGAAAAACCACCAAAAGATCTAAAGTGGAAAATAAAAAATCTGCCAAAGCACCAAAAATAGAACCAAAAGATGCTGAGCAACAAGAGGTGTGTTGTAGTGACCCAGAGGCCATGGACATCAACAGTATGTTTTTCATTGATGACACGGGACATGAAGAAGAACCACATGTGAAAGAAGAGACTATGAAGAAGGAAGATAACACTGTAGACTTAGTAAATACTGACAATATGAAAAACAATGTGGAAAAAAAGAAGTCAAGTGGCCTTCCATATATGTCAGCTAAAACCAAGAGGGTGAAAAACAACCCCAATAGAAAGAGAAAAGATTAGAAATTTTATATAAAAGAAACTCATTTTAATTTTACCTAAAGTTGAAGAGTGCAGCAGCAATTGGGTTAGTAATTTGATGTTTTAATTATTTAAACTTAAATATTTAAGTTGTACAGTACTGAATTTATGAGAATTATTGTTCTTGCTTAAAAGATGGCCATATGTAGTCTATTCTCTCATAAGTCCAGTCACTAACAATGTCCGTATGTCAAGTAGTAGAGGCTGCATTTGCACATGGAACAACTCGTAAAGAATTATATATGCTGTGGCTTGGTTATCATATAGCTGAAACATTGTTACTTGCTTGCACTGGAGAACTGTGAAAAAGATGAGGGTTGCTTTAACAAATGCTGTATGCATATAGTATAGTATAATGTGAGGGAGAGACCATGTGAAGCTTCAGATAGTGTGAATGTGGCTAACAAAAAAGTCCAAGGGCTTTTTATCCATCTTTTTACACCTTTGATACTAAATGTCCTCTGGGAATATTGCTTGAGAAAATGGCCATCATTCAAGAACCTCAAACCTTCTTGGGACTTTTATTTCATGTGTGGATTTATGAAGAGAATAGAAGAAACGAGGATGGTGGAGAATTGATCATAGGCTACTTTAGTGTATGTTGGTCAAAATTTTCACTGTCATTTATGATGAATTGTTAAGTCATCTGAATGGTCTGATACAACAATACATTGTGGTCAATAAACTATTGTATAAGCTGTCAGGTTTAAACATTGCCTAAGAAAATAGTCGTCAGTGGGACAAGGTGCGTTCAATTTAGTTTTCCCATTTCGTTTTATAATGGATGCCTTTGTGGAATTAGGGGAAGGTTAGAATGAATTTTGCTGAAAACTAACATTGGAAAAATAGTAGAAATTAGTTATCACACTGGCAATTTTATTAATAATTTATCTTCACAGTATTTATGAATGATAGCACCGACACTTGTTATTTTCTTCAAATGTTCCAGTTAGTAGTTAGGTCACACAATGCCTTTCATTTAAAATTCTAAAGTAATAGTTATTAAGCTAATGCAATATTGAATTTCTTTGATATTTTGTAGCTTTAACAAATAAATTTATCATGATTCTTGAAGCACAGTACTGTATTATGATTTCCTACCCCCAATGTGGCTCAAAATATAAGGCAAAGATAAAGAAAAGTTAAAACCCAGGAAAACATTTAACACTTAGAGAAATTAAAAACTAGCAGTCATTACAAGTGCAATGTGAAAATGAACTTGTGACAGATCACCAAACATAACATAGCCCACTTCTGTGTAGACTAATCATCTCATCATTGTAACAACCCAGTTCAACCTAACATGACATAATGTAACTCAACCTAACATACATTACTGAACTCATACTAATCTATCATAACTTACTGTAACATAAAACCTAACATGACCCAACTCAACCTATTCTAACCTAACCTAGCATAACAAACAACTAAATCCAACTTAACCTAACATACCACAACCCTAACTTAACCCAACTCAACTAAAACTAACCTAAGCACAGTCAGTCAAGATGTCCTCATTTTTAAGGGCTGGTGTACTGTTATTTTTTTCAGGCTGTGTTTACTAATCCTCCCATTAATATTTACCATTGTCTCTTCACCTGTAACTTTAAAGCCGAAATATTAGATTTTCCTCTTTCTATAAATTCCCTTTACTTCTCTTGGTGCACCAGCCAGTCCTAGTACAGAAGTTCTTCATTTGTTTTTGTCAGTATAACTATTCTTTAATATTTTCCCATAGTACAACATTTTGAAAGCCTCTAGAATCATTTTGTTTTCTGAAAGTGCCTTTACTTCTGACCCATGCAATAGTACTGAAAATATGTAGCATTTCAGCAGTGTTTTTCTTCAACAGAAATAGATACCCCTTTGACAAAATACAATGATTATTAAATACTGTTTTTACTTAACCCAGTCTGCTTTAATTTATATTTTGTTGTTGCTTACTGTAATTACTACCAGGTACTGTGTTTAAATTTGAAATCAAGTAATATATCCATCCTCACAGCACTAATTTTGAGACCATTATATTAAGGCCTCATCACAGTCATCCACAATAAGAACTGTCATCTGATACTGAATATTTTTTTTTTCGTTGGTAATTACGGTACATCTCCCATAAAATATATTGCATAATAGTGTCTGAAGTACAGTAAAGTAGTACCATATAGCCTTGTCCTCCCAGTCTAGTCCTAAACAAACTGATGCTGTTAGAGATTTTGTATAATTCTCTCCTCTAAATCCATTATCATGAATACAAATGAGTTAAAAGTATTAAGCCAAAGTACTTGGTCATTATTGTGTTCAAATTTCAGCTTTCTACCTCAAAAAGTACAAGGTTGAGTGATAGTGTGGGGTACGTGATATTTGGGTTCACACTCATGATAATATTATCATGATAATATTAACAGTAGTAAAAATCAAGTCAATACATTTTTACTTTTACTTTTAGCCTCTTTGCTACTGACAGGCTCCTTAGCCGCTTGGGCGGTCGGTCACTTCTCTGATACGCACTGTTGGCAAGTATTGGGCATATAGTGCTCATAATTAAAATGTTAACAACGGTAAAGATCAAGTTTACAGTATTCACGATGCTGTTAACAGTAGTAAAAATCAAGTCAACAGTAGTAAAGATCAAGTTAACAGTAGTAAAGATCACGTGAACAGTAGTAAAGATCAAGTGAACAGTAGTTGTGATACAACTAACAGACGTAAAGATCTTGTGAGTAGTACTTACTGTGTATCATAGAACATATATGAAATCACTAATAAATAGGATAAATATACTATAATAAATGAGCATATATTACTGAAAATAAACGTACAGAGAAATAAAAAATTTTAAACTTTGGTCATATACTTAATTGGGAATCCGGGAATAATAACAGAAACATTAATGAACAAAGTTGGGGAAGGAGGGCCAGGGGCAGGCAGAGACTGGGGTAGATAATTGAAAGTAAAAACTGGGTCCCCAAAGAGATACAAAACCTCAGAGGATTGGTAAAAACAGCCCGAGAACGTTTAGAGTGGAGTGGATGCCTGTGGTCGCGAACCCTCAAGTATGACAACGGTACTTTGATGAGATCCGATCTATCGTGTCTTGTCTGAAATAGTCGTCAGTCCTAACTCACTGTACTTGGATAATCAAGGCGATGTAGTTCAGGAATAATCTTAGTCGCTGTGTTGCACCTTTTCTATGGTTATTAGGTGTTGAGGTCTCCTAATAGTGTATGAGGAGAAATTTACTCCAAACCTTGTAAAGTTGATCAAGAAACCATAATCGCAAATACAGAAGACAACCGAAAAGGGAACTAAGCCATTGTAGATGATTTCCAATTTTTATTATATGATATACATATAATGAAATTGAAATTTTTTTATATAACTCGGTTACTGTTAGTGGTCATGACTCATGAGGAAGGTTGCCGGCTATCAAGCTTGTGCCAGTATTTATTATTCAGTTTATTTGTTGTAAATTATCTGATTTCAACACCCCGAATTCCATATGGGGAAGTAAATACAATATTATAAGGATGTGAAAATAATTCAAGTTGTATTGGTGTAACACAAGTGCCAAAGATGGGAAGATGTCTCCCATCTCAAGGTTGGTGTAGAGTCTGCCCCTCACCGAGCATACTGGACCCCTGACTGAGCGTACTGCGAGGCGGTTTCATTGGACTCGAGTCACAGGCAGCAACAGCAACACTACAGCCAGTTTAAGACAAACACTGGTGCTGTAAACATGCGTGTCATCCACGAACCCCTCAAACACGGACCTAAATGCCGGGTAAGTTGAAAGATCCTCTGTAATACTGTTACAGCTGTGTTAAATTACTTTGATTATTTTTGTGGTGAAAACGGTGAATATTGTCCACAGTGAGTATGAGGATAAGTGCGCGGGCAGTCAGAAATATTACAGCTCTTGTGGGATATTTTACTAAAAAAAAAAATTACACGTGATTGTCAGATAAACTAACCTTGGCACGAGCAGGTATATCAGCATTTAACAAATGACATAAAACATCCAATGTAATAGCTTATACAGTGGAGTGTGGTAGTGGTTGTGAGAATGGTTGTGTGGTAGGATGCGGGCAGGCAGGCCAGGCAAGATTGTCGAGCGTGTGGAGTGGAAAATCCAGCAGGAGGGGCGCGGCCTGGGTACCACACACAGGAGACCTTTCCCACCCAGGCCATCCGGGGAAGTCCTGTGAGCGGAGGACCCAGGTGAGGTAGTTGTGGGAGTACTGTTAGAAGAGGAAAGTAGAAGGGTAGGTTGTGGAAGTTCCGATTGTAGAGGAATTCAGTGAGGGAGGTTTGTGACTGGGGAAGATGGGAATGTTAGTGTGTGTGTGTGTGGTTGGTCAGGGAGTGGAGAATGTTAGGGTGTGTGTGTGGTAGTGGAGAATGTTAGGGTGTGTGCGCGTGTGGTTGGTTGGTTGGTTGGTTAGGGAGTGGAGAATGTTAGGGTGTGTGTGTGTGGTTGGTCAGGGAGTGGAGAATGTTAGGGTGTGTGTGGTAGTGGAGAATGTTAGGGTGTGTGCGCGTGTGGTTGGTTGGTTGGTTAGGGAGTGGAGAATGTTAGGGTGTGTTCGTGTGGTTGGTTGGTTAGGGAGTGGAGAATGGCAGTGTTTGTGTGTGTGTGGCCAGGGAGTGGAGAATGGCAGGGTGGGTGTGTGTGTGTGTTTTCCGATGTTTTGAGAATTAAAACCTTTTAATACAACATTGTAAGTGCCTGAAAATGCGAGGTGAAATGTGTTCTCACTAACGGGAACACAAAATACAGTATATAATTATTATACTGGTAGTCAAATTAAAGGCAGTTCAACACTTATTAAATAACCACAATTATAAATTCAATATACAGTCCACCCCAAAAAATGCCTAAATGGAGACCAAACGTCGTCTGAATGTTATAATTACGGTACCGGATAACTAACTTGGGCACTGACTGTCCCCTATAGATCACAAGGTCTTGAGCATAAAGGTTAGGTGACGTGTGTGGAGGTTATTAAGACAGTCATACAATAGCACTAGCTTACTGAATTATACTATTGATCTTGGTGAAGAAAATTGACTGGAAATGTGATATATACTGCATTTTGCAGCTTTATAGGGATGTTGCTATGAAACACACTCACAGTCAATATTTAATTGTAATTTTCTCCTACTTAATAAGACGCGCCCTCCGAGCTCTATAACCTGTCTGGTAGTGATTCCAGGAAAGCATTTCTTGGGTTTTTCCCTACAGGTGGGCAGCTGTGGTGGCGGCGGGCCTCCCGGGATGTTTCATAGTTCATCCCTTACTTTGGTTCTCATATTTTTTCTTGTAGTGGTCTTGTGGGGTTCATTACATTACACCAGTGTTTTATCTCGGGTGCAGATTATTAGGTTCCTCCGTGGAATTGTGCTCAAAACCTCAAATGTCAAAACGTATCTAAAGGGTTCAACTTACACGACAACTCTAGAGAAAAACGACATTTTAAAGTTATTCTATATATTAATTACGTATTTTTACTGACCTCCAAAAATGACTACTTAAAAAAAATTTATGGATAAAAAGAACAAATTAATAATTTTTCTGTCAATGTTCAGTGGTTGACGTCTAGTGTATCAACTAACTCTCACTATATATTTAAACACATACACGTTGAAATACTTTATGGCCTCAAATTTGCTGCTTAGTCATTCTTCAGCTGTCGGCATGGATGTTAGGTTTGGGTTAAGACCATATTAGTTCTTTTAATGTTGTCAAGTTGTATCATAATATTTAATTCTCGTATAAATTTGTGTCGTATAAAACTGTTAAAATAAAGTCACGATGTGGTGCTATATAAATAACTTGTTGTTTAAGTCAATGATTGACGAGTAACGTATCTTCTGGTGACGTCATGCTCTAGAACAGCGGTTCTTAACCGGGGGGGGGGGAACCCAGAACAAAAATAAGGAATAGCTTTAACTGGTGTGTGTATGTCGTTTTGGATTTTCGCTCCCCACAGATACTTCAAAAAGTCGCAAATGGTAATTACGTCAATCAAAATGTAAAATTCCACTAAAAGTGACTGAATTAAGGTAGTAATAATGTAGGGGACTGGACGTCAAGTTGTTCGGATTCCGACGATGTTTGAATCTACGTAACTTTGTGAGGCCGCATTTTCTGCACTGGTTTGCTGTCAAGACCAAATACAGAAACAAGCTGAACGTTGAAGGGGACTTGTGCTGTGATCTCTCTTGCACGCGGCACGTATTCAGTATCTGGAAGCTCAGAAGCAGTGTCAAAAATCTCACTAAATGTGTTGCGTATTAACGAGTTGCTTATACAAACTTTTGAATAATTAAAGTTAATACAGTAGCGAATGAAAAACTAGTTTCTCAATTTTCCTATTTAATTCAAGAGGAAATTGTTTTAGAATTTTTAGATTTATAATTTTATCTGAAGGAAGGAGGGGAGCGTGGAGATGAGGACCAACTGCTATAGGGGGCGCGAACCGAAAAAAAGGCTAAGAACCACTGCTCTAGAAGTTAAGGGTGTTCCATTAAGGTTGCTTTTTGGTGTGTTTTATATTTCTAATTTATTTAAAGACCTTATCAGTTTTAGTAAAGTGACAATAATAAGACTTAGACATCAAGACTGAAGTTGATCTTTAACTTACACCAGAAAAAAATATAGTAAAATGGGGCGCAACATTATAGAGACGAGTAATTGTCACTCAACAGAATCTCCACCCCCCCTCAAAAAAAAAAAAAATAAATAAATAATTAAATAAATAAAAATATCGGAGCTGCCTTAATTTTATCCCCTGACTGGTGGTAAGTAAGGTAGTCACACTGGGACTAAGTTAAGGTATCTAGTTATATTCTCACTGCAATGTTGATAATATTTCTAGATATTGCTTTTGTGCAATATTCATCGTATGGATATTAGTGAGTCCAGACCCAAATTGGAGACTGAAATGGCAACATACTTTATTTTAGCTGCATATTCATCCCTATGAATACTAATTCTGACTGGGTGAGAGAACCAACCACGGTGGAGCAGTTATGCCCAGTTCGTCTGCCTCCTGTCAGACAGCAGATGATAAAGACTTTATGGTTTAGTTGCAGCTCTATATTGAGGTCGTTCAAAAATTATATTTGTTTTGTTACGGACTTGAGTTTTCCTGTACGTTAGCACAGGAAATATTGCATTTTGAATATCTGATAATTCTCCGAGATAAGAACCGCAGTGCTGGCCAATATATAATTACTACAATAATATAATTACTTAATACAGTAATATTGATAACTGACGTAAACCATAACAAACTAGTATTGAAAGTTTATGTACTGGATTCAATGTTTATTTCTATTTGTATTTTTGATGAAGTAATGATAGCCAGGACATAACTCGTTCCTTCCTTGCCTAGATACAGCCGAGCACAGACAGACACACCAAAGTAATGATAGCCAGGAGATAACTCGTTCCTTCCTTGTCTAGATACAGCCGAGCACAGACACACACACCAAAGTAATGATAGCCAGGAGATAACTCGTTCCTTCCTTGTCTAGATACAGCCGAGCACAGACACACACACCAAAGTAATGATAGCCAGGAGATAACTCGTCTCAGCTTAATGATAGCCAGGAGATAACTGTTCCTTCCTTGTCTAGATACAGCCGAGCACAGACACACACCACCAGGAGAGTAGATACAGATAATGATAGCCAGGAGATAACTCGTTCCTTCCTTGTCTAGATACAGCCGAGCACAGACACACACACCAAAGTAATGATAGCCAGGAGATAACTCGTTCCTTCCTTGTCTAGATACAGCCGAGCACAGACACACACTCACCAAAGTAATGATAGCCAGGAGATAACTCGTTCCTTCCTTGCCTAGATACAGCCCAGCACAGACACACACACACTCACACCACCACAGACACGCACACACTCACACCACCACAGACACACACACACTCACACCACCACAATAGCGACGATTACACAGGAGAAGGCTGTCTGCCGACCCGATTGTTATTACGTTTCCGCTTTTCACTTTGACTGGTTTTTGAGTTGGCATGATACTATATTTGGAGCTTTTGTAATGTATATTTGAGCCTTAAAACTAGTACTGCTGACCTTGAACCCCAAAGATGACTCCTACTAAACATACCAACACCAACTGTCATGTCTAACTCCTAAACTATGGAGTATTAACACTTTGGTCATGGAGTCATTTACCAGTACCGTATGTGTGTCAGGAATACACCCCCGGGATATGAAACGTATTTCCGTAACGCTCCACACTGGCCACACCTCCCATGTCTGACCGGTGGACGGAAAAAAGTCACATGACTTGTACACATTGACAACACTATATATATATATATATATATATATATATATATATATGACATTGCATGTAGGTTAGCTTAGTTTAGCTTCGGTTTTTCCTTGCCTTTTTATCTGACCTTTTTTTCCTGGATTCGTCTGACCACCTGTTAGTTACAGACCTTCCTCGATAGCAACATAACCGGTATGATAAATCGAATTTTCGCAGGATTATTGTACTTAATTAAGACCCGCCAGTGTTATCCTACATACTGTCTCCTGTGTACTTACCCACCTACTGCTTCGTGCGTACTTACCTACTTACTGTCTCTTGTGTACTTATTGCACATGGGTGATTATAATAACAGGGATGCACCCAAGAGGCAGGCGGAGGAGGGGGAGGCACCGGCCTGTACCTAATAGGTGAAAACAAAATTAAAGTCCAGTTGAATAATAATAACCTTTTAGAAATCTCAG